CTCTCCCTTGCCGCCCGTTTGCCACGGAGGAGCCGGGGGAAGCGAGCCAGCCGCCTTCTCACGCGAACCTGGGCAATGGTTAACCTGAGCCTGGCTCTGCCTGCGGGCCAGAAGGTCCTGCCACCACCGCTCGCAGGGGCACGGTGACTTGCCCGATGGTTCCCCGGGGATGGAGAGGGCCGCGGCTGCCCACGCCTCTCCGCAAACGCGTCCCCTCGCTGCTGGAAGCAGCGGGAGCCCGCAGCTCCCAGCGTCTCCAGCCCGGCCATGGAGGTGACAGCCCTCACTGTGTGCTGGGGACACGCTGGGCAGCACACAGAAGGGCTCTGGGGAAAGTGCTGGCACCCACATCCCACTGGGCAGCGATGCCGAGAGCGTGTGTCCCACCATCCCCAGGGCAGGGCTTAGGGACCCCCTTCCACCTCCCTGCCCTAGGGACCCCCTTCCGCCTCCCTGCCCCAGGGACCCCCTTCCACCTCCCCAGCCTGGGCTCTGGGGCAGGAACATGCCCCGGGAAGGAGAAGACAACGTTCATCCCCTGGAGCTTGTTGGAGCTGAGGAAAGATCTGCCCTGGTTTGTTGGGCTGGCTCCAGCTCAGCTGCTCCCCAGGTCTTTCGTGCCATGACCCTCCCCTGAGGTAAGTAACTGGCCGTGCAATGAGAGGAGTGCATACAGAGCCGTGGCCTTCCAGGTGACAGGAGACAAAGGTCCAGGAGGCAGGAGAAGCAGGTCCAGGTGGCAGAAGGGGATCCCCTCTGCTCCCCACAGCAGGCGGCTGCCGGATACCCTCTGCCTCGCTATGCTGGGATCCACGGGCGGTAAAACCAGCCCTGTCCATCGCAAGGACCTGCAGGTAGGAGACAACGTGTGTGTGTGTGTGTGTGTGTTTTGAACATGGATATCCTGGGGTGAATTAAGAAGAGTGTGGCCAGCAGGTTGAGGGAGGTTCTCCTTCCCCTCTACTCTGCCCTGGTGAGCCCTCATCTGGAGTACTGTGTCCAGTTCTGGGCTCCCCAGTTCAAGAAAGATGAAGAGCTACTGGAGAGAGTCCAGCGGAGGGCTCCGAGGATGATGAGGGGACTGGAACA